CATGCTCATAAGCTCTGAGGTGCACGTGTGTGGGCTGTGCCATGCTGCACGTGTGTGGGCTGTGCCATGCTGCACGTGTGTGGGCTGTGCCATGCTGCACGTGTGTGGGCTGTGCCATGCTGCACGTGTGTGGGCTGTGCCATGCTGCACGTGTGTGGGCTGTGCCATGCTGCACGTGTGTGGGCTGTGCCATGCTGCACGTGTGTGGGCTGTGCCATGCTGCACGTGTGTGGGCTGTGCCATGCTGCACGTGTGTGGGCTGTGCCATGCTGCACGTGTGTGGGCTGTGCCATGCTGCACGTGTGTGGGCTGTGCCATGCTGCACGTGTGTGGGCTGTGCCATGCTGCACGTGTGTGGGCTGTGCCATGCTGCACGTGTGTGGGCTGTGCCATGATGCAGCGAGCTGGGCAACAACCTCTTCTCAGGCCGCCTGGATTCCTTCCTCACCCCTCTTCTTCCCATCAAGACCCTCAAAGTCCTGTGAGTTGCACTCGCTCTCACAACCCCGACCACACTGCACTCGTTGGTTTCGCCTGTCTTGCCTGGCTTGGACCTCTTATGCAATTCACCCCATAACAAGCATGCTAGATCACACAAAGAAGCGCAGCCCCTATAAGCCATGCACTATCATATACCACATTCTGTGTGATTCATCGCCCTCCCTCCCTCTATTGCTGCCCTCATCCCCCCACCAGCCACGTGCACAACGACTACCTGTTGGGCGCCGTGCCACCATCACTCACTGCTCTCTCCGCCCTCTCTGAACTGTGAACTCTCTCCCCTTATTTGCCACGCAGTCTTATATCCAACCTTATCAAACCTTATGCCATGTCTCTCTCTCTCGAACGGTCCTTGTATTACATAAAACCAGATTACAACATGGCATTCCTAGCAAGGTGACTAATGTAAACCCTCATCCCCCATTCCCTTGCCCATCACAGCAAGGTCCAGGGCAACTACCTGACAGGCAGCATGCCGGCAGCGCTGCCGGCGTCCCTCAAGTACCTGGACGCATCAGGGAACTACCTGGTGGGAACGTTCCCCACCACCACCACCACCTACTGCAGCTGCGCCAGCAACTGCTTCAAGGACAGCACCAAGTGCACCAGCGGCAGCACGCAGCAAGCAGCAGCAGCATGTGCCATCTGCGGCAGCACCGATGCCACCGGGGTGCTGTGTGATGGCGGCACGTGTGCTCCCAGTTCGACTGCTCTGATCGCAGCAAAGACTGTGAATACGGGGACGGCTGAGATGTACTGCGCGGGTGCTCCCATGGATGCTCCCATGGGTGAGTGCCGTGAGGCATGACGCCAGGGATGGGGAGTGTGTGTGTGTGTGTGTGCGCGCGCGCGCGCGCGTGCGTGCGTGCGTAAAGGGGACATGTGAGAATGTGGTTGAACAAAAAAGAGGAGGAGCCTTGCATGAGTAAAACCTCTGTTTCTTTTGTGATCTCATACGTTACCGTATTACGTCTTACATCATATCACCTTGCCCGATCCAATAAGAATGGAAACGACTCACCAAACCGTTCCCCCACTCCTCCTTCTCCTCCCCCACCCAGCTGCGGCGCTGCTGAGTGTGAAGGCATCGCTGGGAGTGTCGTTCACCAGCTGGGCGGTGAGCTTGCCGTGTGCCGTGGAGGGAGTGGCAGCACCGCCAGGTGCGTGGTCCAACGTCCTCTGCAACTCTGCCTTCAAACCCGTCTCACCCGTCTCCCTGTCAGTCACCCATCTCCCTGTCAGTCAACCCGCCCGCACGCCGAACCTGACTCGCCCATGCCGCCGGCCTGCCATTGCCACCTCTGCTGCAGCTGCTGCTAAGGCAAATCCGAGAGTTCCTACTAACAGTTTCACGTGAACGACTATTTGCATTCCTACCAGCACCATGTCTCTTTTAAACGTCTTTGCTCCAACTAACAGTTTTTTACTGTTTTTGGTTGTGTTTGTCTGTGTTTGGTTGTGTTTGGTTGTGCTTGGCTGTTTCTGGCTGTGTGTGGTTGTGTCTGGCTGGCTGTTCTTGGTTGGGTTTGGCTGGGTCTGGCTCCTTCCGATTGTTGTCGAATGAGCAGCAAGCTGTCGGGGCAGAAGCTGGCAGGAAAGATGCACTCGGACATCTCCAAGCTCTCCACCCTCGCCTCCGTGTAAGTCCATTCTTCAGCCGCCTCCCAACCAGCCTCACCACCCTCGCTGTCATGCTTTAGTATCCCCACTCATGCCTTGCTTTCCTCCGCTGTGATTTGTATCGTCCAACCTCAACAGCCTCTCTTCCCAACCGCTGTGTTCATCTATTTATGAATTTCATTTATCGTATCATGTATGTCACCATTCAAATCACCGCCATTTCTTGCTTAGCTACTCACGTCAAATTGACCCGTGTTGCTGTTTCTTCTCATTGTCACTGTCCCCCTTGTGGCTTCAGTGTGCGTTCTCTGATTCTCCTCTTGCTCGCTTACCTATTTACTTCAGCTCGACCCGTGGTGCTGGATCAAAACCTCCTTGTGTGTCCGACCCAAACACCCCTCACCCCTATCCCTCCTCTTTAAATTAATCACCCCTATCCCTGCTTTTTAAACCCCTCACCTCTATTCCTCCTCTTTTAAACCGACTGTGTATACCCCGTCCCTCTTTCCCCATGTACCCCTTACAGTGATTTCAGTAGCAACCTATTGCAGGGGCGTCTGGATGCATTCACAACCGACTTCAAGGCGCTCACCTCGCTCAAGCAAGCGTGAGTGGCGTGGTCATGGTGTCCCTCGGCAGCAGAGCAGAGCAGTGCAACTTGTACAGCTAATCAGAACTTGCAGAGCAAAGCACACAAGGTGGAACAGAAGCAGTCACTGGAGAGGAGGCAGACTGCTGAAGTAGCTCCCACGTGGGGCTGCCTGCCGCAACTGTCTCTACCTACCACGGCACGAGTAACCATCTCATTCCTCTTCATAAAAAATCCATACCTTCTCTCCTCACCCTCTTATCTCCACCCCTCTCCGCTTCTCCCCATACTCCTTCCGCTTCCCTCTTCCCGCCTCCTCCCTCCTCTTCCCTCTTCTACCCTCCTCTCCCTCCTCTCCTCGAAACTCACCCAGATCTCCTCTCATGCATTTATTTGTTTCTTCTTATTTCCGCCCACCTGCTCCCCCCACCTGCCCCTCCCTCTCAACCCTACCACTTTCTCGCCCATGGCAGCAACTTCAACTTCAACTGGTTTGCTGGGTCCATCCCCTCTGCCCTTGTGGCCATCACCTCCCTCACATCATTGTGAGACCTCCTTGCCTTCTTCTTCTCAGGCCTTCGCTGCTGCTGCCCCATTCCTTCACTCCTGTTACCTCACTGCATCTGCCCCAAGTCTCACTTTTATACTCGCTGTCCTCCACTCTCAAACACGATCACATTCACTCTTCCACTCTTCCCCCCATCCCCACCCCCCTCACCCCTCCTCTTCAGCGGAGCGAGCTACAACTACCTGTACGGCCCCGTGCCCAAGCTCGGCACGGCTCTCAATACCATCGACGTGCAGAACAACTGGCTGTCCGGCACATTCCCCGGCACTGGCTTCCTCTCCTGCTCTGCCTCCTCCAACTGCCTCGCCAACGCAGGCGCATGCAACACCACAGGCACCACGCAGCGCCCATTGGCTTCTTGCGCCGTCTGTGACTCTCCCACTGGGGCTGATCCCATCTGTGCCGACGACACCAGTGCTCCTAACACCACCTCCCCTCATGCCACCTCCACCACCCCCACCGCCTCGTCTCCCATTCTCCCGCGCTTCTGTGTGGGTGTGCCTTTGAACGCATCACAAGCCGCCATTCTCCTCTCTGTGAAGACGGCTCTCGGGGTCACCTTCACCGAGTGGTCTGCCAGTACCATTGCAGTAGCCTCCAAGGCCAAGACCTTTGTCAGCGATTTCAGGAACGGGCTCAAGGCGATGGGGCGGCGGCGCTTGGCAGTGTCAACGGGAGCCCCGTCCTCGCTTGGGCGGAGCCGACTTCGTGGTTGGGTGTAGGGTGCAGCCGACCTGCAGCAGTGGGCGACTTGGTCGACGAGGTTGGTCGACCTGCACGGGGAGCCACTGCATGGGCGCCGACTTCGGGAGGGCGCCAACTTCGGGTGGTCGACCTGGGAAGTCGACCAGCCCTTCTGGTCGACCAGGGGGTAGTGGTCGACCTGGGGAGGTCGACTGGAGGTGGCCGTCGACTTGGGAGGTCGACGGGCACATACCAGAGGCAGTGGTCGACCTGGGGAGGTCGACCGGAAGTGGTCGTCGACCTGGGTGGTCGACGGGCACGCACAGGAGCCTCTGGTCGACCTGGTTGCTCGGTCGACCAGGTTACCTGGGTGACGAGGTTCTGCGGAGGCATGCGACGTTCGCCCAGGTGGGTTTGGCGAGGACGATCTCGGTGATGGTATCCCGAGGTGGACGTGGTGCATCAGAAGCAGTCGTCAGCACGAAGTTGATGTGGTGTGTGCGCTGTGCAGGTGACGAGGCACTGCACGCCAATCATCTGCGAGCACCTGCAAAGTAGGTGCGCTGCTGTCCTGCGGGAGCAACGTTGGCGCGCCGTCAACCTGCGACGTTGGCACGCCGTCGACCTGCAGCGTTGGCAAGCCGCGACTCTGCACTGCTAGAGCGCGGTCGACCAAGTCGTGCTGGCACGCGGTCGACCGTGCTGCGCTGGCAGTCGTCCTGCTTGCATGCTAGCTCTGATGTAGTCTTGCCTTGCCAACTTCATTGTATCATTGTTGTCAACTTTCTCTAGTGAAACTCTTGCCAATTCTCCCTGTGAACTAGCAAGCTGTGTGTGCACTAGGAAAACGACTAAGGAACAAGGAACGCAGAGATCACACGAGCACCCGTGCCTATCCCGTAGTCTAGCTCCCGTTGTAGTAGTTATCTCCGCATGGTGCGGTGAGCGTGGACGGCATACGACTTAACTTTCAGTCTAGTCGACCTAGTTGCACCTTACCTAAGTTGTTCGTAGGCCGGCAGCTGTGCGGTAGTCACTATGGTAGGCGCCGTAGGTGACACGGGGGTGGTGGACACCCTGGAGGCACGGCTGGAAAATGAGAGGAAGCACGAGGCCAACGAGTATGGCGACCTGCCTTGGGCGGCGGAGCACCCTTCTCGGCCTGCTTCTCCTCGACCGGCGAACACCGAGGGCGGCGTCGACGTGGGCGTCAACACCGGTGGTGACCAAGTCGGCAGCAGTGCGGGAGGCACGTCGTCAAGGCAGCGTGGTGTGATTCACGTCGACGAGGTCGGCGGCGTTCAAGCGCGAGGGATGCGGTCGTCGGCGGCTGCAGGCTCCTCGCAGGGCGACGTCGGAGGACGACGAAGCGGGTTGACGCCGATGTCGGCGTCCCAGGTGACGGCGGGCGGAATTGCACCGAGCTACGGCTACTTCAAATTTACGCCGGACAGGATCTTGGTCACCCCGCTGCTTGTTGGTCGACAAGACATTCTCACCTGGAAGGAAGCTATCGAGCCCCAGCTGGAGATGGCCGGGCTGATCAGCTTTGCTCGAGGTATCGTGGTGATGCCGAGCGACCCCGACTTGCGAGCTGAGTTCCGCGCTGTGCAGCTGCTGACCTTCACGGTCATCTCACGGTGCTGCTCGCCGGGCGTGCAGATCGCCCTGAAGTGGTGCCAGGAGTACCTCGACGCCGGCCACCAGGCGTGGCACTTCATCGAGTCGACGTACCAGGTCACCGACGACCTGTTCATCGCCCAGCTGGAGGGGCAGCTGACGCACCTGCGCATGGGCGACGAGGAGACGGCTACCGACTACTGCAACCGGGCCCGGCGAATTCTCGCCACCATCAGGATGGCCGGCGCGCAGTACTCGACGGCGTCGTACGTCACGCACGTCATGCAGCTACAACCTGCTCAAGCGGCTGTCCATGGCGCCGAGCACGAGGGCGACGCTCAACGAGGACAACTTGACCTCGTACATCCTGCAGGACGAGGCGATGCAGGAGGCTGAGCGGTCCCAGGAGCTCTTGGCGCAGGTGAACTACGTCGCCCCAGCGAAGCAAGGCGGTCGACCGGGGCAGCGTGGACAGTCTGGTGGCAGCGGTGGTAGAAGTGGCTCGAAGTCGGCCGAGGAAGTCGACAAGAAGAAGTCGACCAAGGACAGTGGTCGAGGAGGAGGAAGTCGACGTCGGGAGTGCTGGCTGTGTGGCGACCCCGACCACCTCTTCTTCGAGTGCCCCGACCGCAGTGACTCCGACGACGACGACGCCAAGGGAGGCCGCGGGAGGTCTGGCAGTCGTCGTCCTCGTCGAGGAGGAAACCAGCCGCGCAAGGAGAAGCAGTCGACCAAGACGTCGACCTCGGGGAAGGACGCCGACTCCCCTGCTGGTGGCAAGGGGCGGGACGACAAGTCGGCGTCGTGCTCTCTGGTCGGCGTCGTGGAGCCGACCGTCTCGCTGGCACCGGAGGCTGGCGAGGACTTCCAGGCGGTGGCGGCAGCTATGCTGGCGAATCCGGCGGTGGTCCTGCTCGACAGCGGCTGCTCGCACCACCTGATGGGGACGAAGGACGCCTTCGTCGACTTGGGGCCAAGCGGCGACGTGAAGCACGTGCGTGGCTTCAATGGGGCGCTGCAGGACGTCCAGGGCCGCGGCACTGTCGCCCTGCAAGGCGAGGCCGGGAAGACGGTGCTCATCCCTGATGTGCTGTACGACCCGGGTGTGCGGGCCAACCTTCTATCGTCCGACCAGCTGAAGGAGCACGGCGTGAAGCTGCAGGAGGACGGCGACGGGATGCTGCTCGTCTCGGCAGCAGGAGAGGTGCTTGGTCGGGCGACGTACTCTGGGCGAGTCCTCTGCACCGACCTGCGTCCCTGCTCGACGAAGTCGACGTCACCCACGCCGGAGGTTGTGGCCCTGCGGGCGATCGTCTCGAAGACGAGGTCGACGCCGGACAGGCTGCATGCACGGCTGGCACACGTTGGCATGGACACCATCAGGCGCTCGGCGAAGAACGAGGTCGCCATTGGGCTGGACCTCAAGTCTGCGACGAGCGCCGACTCACCGTGTGTCTCGTGTGTCGGCGGGAAGCTGGCGAGGCACACCTTCCCCGACCAAGGCTCCGACGCCGACGACGTGCTGGCCGTAGTGCACCTCGACCTGTGTGGGCCGTTCCGCGTGGCTGCCAAGGACGGCAGCCTGTACTTCTTGCTGCTGAAGGACCGTAAGTCCCGCTACGTGTGGGTGAGGCCGGTCGCCAAGAAGTCGGACGTGCTGCTGGAGTTCCAGAAGTGGCTGGTGCTGGTGGAGCGGCAGACGAAGAAGTCGGTGTTGCAGCTGCGCTCTGACCGAGGAGGGGAGTTCCTCGGGAAGCAGTTCACCGACTTCGTGGACGGCAAGGGGATCGTCCACGACCTGACCTGCCCGTACACCCCGCAGCAGAACGGCATGGCGGAGCGGGAGATGCGGACGGTGGTGGAGTCGGTACGGACGATGCTGCTGCACATGGGCGTGCAGCACCACTGGTGGCACCTCGCTTTGCGGCAGGCTGTCTGGGTCCGCAACTGCCTGGAGCGGTCGGCGACGCCGGGGACGACGCCATACCAGCTGCTGACCGGTGTTGGGTGCAAATGCACATTGCACGACATCCTGCCGTCTGTTTGTACGAGTATGCGTGTGCGAATGCATTTGCGTGTGAATGGAATGTTCGTGTGTTTGTTTGCTTTCGCAATTTTCGCTTGATGCATTTGCAGGTACTCGCGCAATGTGCGCTTCGACACAACATTGTATGCGCTATGAACAGTGCAAGCAGAAAGGACGAGCTCGCAAAGGAACCCAAGATGGAAGCTTTGCAGTTCGGTTGAGTTGATTGCGCAGATTCAGTTCTATCCAACTCGGAATTGTACTGTTTTGTTTGGTTAACTATAGTGTAGCAGGGAAGGCACTATAGGGGTAAAATTTAGGTGAAGGTTGGATGTTGTTTGTCTGTATCTGCATGCTACAAGGCCAGGGGAAACCAGCGGAACCAGCATTTGGCTGGTTGGGCAAAGACAAAACAGGTTCTGTTTTTAGAACCTGAACCTAGTTGTTGTTTTCCCAGGTTGGAAAAACAGAACCAGAGGTTGTTTACCAACCTACCACCTGCTATTTTGTCCAGCCAGGTTGGTTCTGTTGCTTGGAATTATTTGGGATCATCCTTGGTTGTTCCCAGGTTGATTCCCAAGGTCCTTGCTAGCTAGAACTATTTAATCCTTCTCTGTTTGTACCTGAATATAGTAAAATTGATTCAAGCGAATTCCTTCCTCGCTGGAATTTCGTTTCTACGCGGTTCGTTGGCGGAATGCTACCCGAGTCAACGCTAGTACGCTAGCGCTCCAACGCTAGGCAAACGCTGTCCGAGCCAGAACTTAGTAATGGCAGAACTTTTCGCGAGGCAACTTGGCTCATTTTAAAGCTCTTGGAGCGAGCTTCGATATAGCGAATTCTCAGCTTAATCCGATCGACGGTCTGCACGGCACGCTGCGCGACGTTCAAGGTGCTCTTGCTGTTTTGACTAAGTCCTTCTTGATCCCTCTCTCTACAAACTCGGACCCGAGGATAGGGGCTGGGCTTTGTACCAGGCACCCAGGGACCCTTGGAGGTGACCCCGAGGAGAGGTTTTAAGTTTGATTAAGTCCTAATAGCTTGAGTTTATTAGGCCCTTACACCAACAACCGGGACGAAGCCCGACTTGTCGCTGGCGCGTGTGTGGGGCTGCATGGCGCAGTTCCTCCTCGTCCACGAGCAGCAGCGTGGTGGCAAGCTGAAGCCGAAGGCCAGGTGGGGCCTTCACCTCGGCATGTCGGAGGCGAGCAAGGGCTGGGAGCTCCTCGACATTGCCACCAACCGGATGGTCACCACGTCGGACGTGGTGTTCTACGAGGACCTGTCGCTGGAGGAGTGGAAGTCGGCGCACGGGCCGGTGTCTGGACGGACGTCGACCCCCTCGCCCACCGACACCTCCACAGCGACGCTACCTTTGCTCGCCGAGGTCGGTCAGCTTGCTGAGGACGACCCCGAGGTCTTCCACCCTTCCTCCCCCTCCCCTGCCACTCTTCTCATCACCCTGCGTGGGCTGAGTAAGCCGTCGGCCTCCGGCGATGAGGGGAGCAGTGGGGCGTCGCCTGTGGCGCCGACCAAGGGCATCGCCGGTGGCCGACGGGACGAGCAGCAAGTCGACGAGCAGCAGGTCGACATGGGAGTGCAGTCGACCTGGATCGGGGAGGAGAAGGTTGAGGAGGTACAGCCGACTTGGGCGAAGCCCACAGGGGAGCAGGCAGCAGCGCGGCCGACCAAGGAGCAGTCGGCGACCTGGCAGTCGGCAGGGGAGCTGACCGCAGGGGAGAAGTCGGTCGGGACGCCGACCGAGGTGCAGCAGGACGACGACGAAGCCGGTGAAGATAAAGGGGAGCAATTGGGCGACAAGGAGCCCGTCGACAGATTCGCCGAGGAGGTTCAGCCTGGACAACGGTGCACAGGTCGACTTCGGAGGCCCTCCCGACTTCTTCAATCCCGGCCGACCTTCACCACGGTATATGACGTGGTCGACGAGGACGACGACCTGGCGTTGCGACGACGCCGACGAGGACGAAGAGTTTCCGGAGCTCGACCCCGACATGCTGGCCGACCCCGAGCACCGCTGGGACATCTCGACGATGACGGTGAAGGAGGCGTGGCGAAGCTGGAAGGGCCCGGCGGTGAAGGCCGCCATGGAGGAGGAGATACGCAGCCTCATCAGCATGGGCACGTGGGAGCTGGTCGAACGCCCGCCGGGAGTGAACGTCATGAGAACCGTGGGTGTTGACGACGAAGTACCTCATCGATGACACCCGTCGAGCGAGAGAAGGCGAGGCTGGTCATGAAGGGCTTCACGCAGGTGTACGGCGCCGACTACGACGAGACGTTTGCGCCGGTGGGCAGCTACGTCACGCTGAGGATCTTCCTCAGCATCGTCGCCGTGCTCAACCTCAACCTGATGCAGCTCGACATGAAGAACGCCTTCCTGCAGAGCAAGCTCGACCGGGTGCTGTACATGTCGCAGCCGGACTACTTCAACGACGGAACCGGCCGGGTGTGCAAGCTGCTGAAGAGCCTGTACGGGCTGAAGCAGTCGCCGCTGCTGTGGTACTTGGCGCTCAACGACGTGCTGGTCGGCGCCGGTTGGAAGAAGAGCCAGGTCGACGAGGCCCTCTATTTAAGGTCGGCGACAACAAGGTGACCTGCTGGGTGCTGGTCTACGTCGACGACTTGCTCGCCGCCAGCAGCAGCCCCGAGATGCTGAAGGAGCTGCTGGAGGCCGCCTTCGAGCTGCGCGAGATCTCGCCGGTGCAGAAGTACCTCGGGCTGGAGATCGTGCGCGACAGGTCGGCGGGGAAGCTGTGGCTGCACCAGCAGGGCTACGCCGACAAGCTGCGTAGGCGTTTCATCGATGAGGAGCAGGGCGGTCGGACCCCGAAGACGCCGGTCTCGGTCGACGCCTACGCCGAGCTCACCTTCGACGACGAGGAGGCACAGGAGCGACAGGAGGAGGAGAGGAGAGTACCGGCAGAAGATCGGCTCGCTGCAGTTCGCGGCGACGACGACGAGGCCGGACATCGCCTTTGCCTGCAGCAAGCTGGGGAACGGCCTCACGGTGAGGAGCGACCAGCACTGGCGCGAGGTCGACCGCTGCCTCGCCTACCTCGCCAACACGCGTGACACCGCCCTGGAGTTCGGCGGTGGACCTGAGTCGTTGGAGCTGGTCGGCTACGTGGACGCCGACGACGCTGGCGACAAGCAGAACCGGACGAGCATGGGCGGCTACGTGTTCGTCTACGGAGGAGCCGCGGTCTCCTGGTCGAGCCAGCGCATCAAGTGCGCGACGCTGTCGTCGACCGAGTCGGAGTACGTGGCGGCCGTTGAAGCCGGCAAGGAGGGACGCCGACTTCGCTTCCTCCTGGCAGAGTTCCAGCAGCTGGATGCTAGAGGGCCAACGGTCCTGAGGGTGGACAACAAGTCGGCCATCACAGTCGCCGAGGGCATGGGGTTGACGGGCAACCTCAAGCACATGGAGTGGCGACAGGCCTGGCTGCAGCACATGGTGAAGCGGGGGAAGTTCTCGCTGCAGTACATCCCGACCGCTGAGCAGCCGGCCGACTTCATGACGAAGGCGCTGCACTATCCGGTGCTCCGTCTCGATCGGCCAAGTGCGCCTGGCCGACGTGGGCGACGGCGACAACGACGTGCAGCAGTAGGTGCCATGCCCTGTGCATTGCTGGTGCGGTGGACGACGTGCTGTGTGTTGGGTGCACGTCGACGAGCTTGTCTCCGAGAAGTACTGTCGTGTGGGCTGGGGGCCCAAGCATGAACGCGGCAGGGGAGTGTCAACAGGAGTTGTATGTTGGCCCCGTCCTCGCTTGGGTGCAAATTTACATTGCACGACATCCTGCCGTCTGTTTGTACGAGTATGCGTGTGCGAATGCATTTGGGTGTGAATGGAATGTTCGTGTGTTTGTTTGCTTTCGCAATTTTCGCTTGATGCATTTGCAGGTACTCGCGCAATGTGCGCTTCGGCACGACATTGTACGCGCTATGAACAATGCAAGCAGAAAGGACGAGCTCGCAAAGAAACCCAAGATGGAAGCTTTGCAGTTCGGTTGAGTTGATTGCGCAGATTCAGTTCTATCCAACTCGAAATTGTACTGTTTTGTTTGGTTAACTATAGTGTAGCAGGGAAGGCACTATAGGGGTACAATTTAGGTGAAGGTTGGATGTTGTTTGTCTGTATCTGCATGCTACAAGGCTAGGGGAAACCAGCGGAACCAGCATTTGGCTGGTTGGGCAAAGACAAAACAGGTTCTGTTTTTAGAACCTGAACCTGGTTGTTGTTTTCACAGGTTGGAAAAACAGAACCAGAGGTTGTTTACCAACCTACCACCTGCTATTTTGTCCAGCCAGGTTGGTTCTTTTGCTTGGAATTATTTGGGATCATCCCTGGTTGTTCCCAGGTTGATTCCAAAGTCCTTGCTAGCTAGAACTATTTAATCCTTCTCTGTTTGTACCTGAATATAGTCAAATTGATTCAAGCGAATTCCTTCATCGCTGGAATTTCGTTTCTGCGCTATTCGACGGCGGAATGCTACCCGAGTCAACGCTAGTATGCTAGCACTCCAACGCTAGGCAAACGCTGTCCGAGCCATAACTTCGTAATGGCAGAACTTTTCGCGAGGCAACTTGGCTCATTTTAAAGCTCTTGGAGCGAGCTTCGATATAGCGAATTCTCAGCTTAATCCGACCGACGGTCTGCACGGCACGCTGCACGACGTTCAAGGTACTCTTGCTGTTTTGACTAAGTCCTTCTTGATCCCTCTCTACAAACTCGGACCCGAGGATAGGGGCTGGTCTTGTACCAGGCACCCAGGGACCCTTGGAGGTGACCCGGAGGAGAGGTTTTAAGTTTGATTAAGTCCTAATAGCTTGAGTTTATTAGGCCCTTATACCAACAAGCTGGTATCAGAGCTGCGTTATAGTGATCCTCGTTATAGGTAGCTATGGCGGGCAACACCTCGGCGGGAGCTGGTGAATCTTCAGCCCAAGATCGTAGCGGCAGCCAAGATTCTGGTCTTTCAGCGCCAAGGGGAGCGCGAACAAACCAGGGCTCGCTTGTCAAGGAGGTGCTGAAGAATTTCACCGTCGAGAAGTTCAATGGTGAGGGCTATGATGATTGGGCCTGGAAAATGCAATTATATTTCCGTCAGATCGGTTTGCTGAAACTAATGATTGGGGAGGAGCCTAGACCGAGTGACCCCACGCTGCAGGAAGATTGGGACGAGCGCTCCTCGGCTGGCTACTATTTGATGTCGCAGAGTTTGGAGCTGAACCAGCGTCACCACGTCATGCACCTGCTGCCGGAGGTTGAATGCGGTCCGAAGGCGTGGACCGTGTTGAAGGAGCTGCACGCCCCGACCTCCGTTGTCGCAACGTTGATGCTGGAGAGGGAGCTGTCCGCGTTGCGCCTGAGCGAGGGAGAGCCGGTGCAACCAGTCCTGGACAAGATGCGCGACCTCTACGCGAAGTTGGCGACCGCGGGAATCACCTACCCGGAGCAGACCAAGTGCTTGAAGATGCTCTCGCTGCTGCCGGAATCGTGGCTTCAATTTACGAGCGGATTGAGCCTGCCGCAGAACCAGAGCTTGTGGACGCTCGAGTGGGTGCGGACGAAGATTCTGGAGGAGGACTTCCGTCGCCGCCAACTGAGGGGTGGAGACGACGGCAGCAGCGGCAGCGGCTTACGGATGCAAGGAGCCGACGTGGCAGAGGACGTGGCTTCGGTGGTGCTGACGCGGTGCAAAGAAAGACGACGACTCCAACGACCAACAAGGAGGTACCGGTTGGGGTCGCGGTGCGAAATCTGGACGTGGGGGCAAGTCGGGTGCTGGTGGCAAAATGAAAGGGAGTTGCTGGTATTGTGAGAAGGAAGGGCACCCCTGGTTTTTGTGCTATAAGAAACCCGATGGATGGACCCCCCAGAATCGTCACCAGGATGGCGGCGCGCGGAGGAACCAGAAAAACGGCGCCAACATGGTCGCTGATTCGTCCGACAACAACCCGAAGGGCAACGGCGGTGCGGAGAAGAAGAAGGAGCGCACCGCGGGCCAATTCTTCCATGTGGGAGACAAGGGGGAGCAAGGAGACGCCTCTGCCAAAGTTGGAGAAGAGCTGCACCCCCTAGACTATTGGGTGTTGGACACAGGCGCTGCTTGGACGATGACGCCGCGCAAGGACCTGCTGGACGAAGTACGAGCTGCACCGATCAATGAAGTGTGCTCCGCCTCTGGACACATGTTGAAGGTGGCTGGTGCGGGACGAGCTGCGTTTAAGGGAGCGGATGGCAAGCCGGTGGTGCTGCACGACGTTCTCTTCGTCCCCGACCTGAAGGCCAACCTTATCTCCCTCCGTAAGCTTGGCAAGGCTGGGGTGAACACCAACACGGATGGGGCACGCACTTATAAGGGGAAGCTGGGCAATCGGGTGCTTTGGGATCTGCACGAGAGCAAGGACGTGTACAGATCTATGTGGCAGCTGCCGGCCCTGGCGTGGCATGGTGGGGGGCAGGCTGGAGAGGGGTCTGCATCCCAGGGGGAGTGCAATGCCGTTGGAGGGGTTGGTGTGAAAGTGTCGGCCAGATCTGGGGAGACAGATTGGGCAACGGCACACCGGCGCTTAGGGCATGTGGCAATGCCTTTGCTGAAGCAGCTGGAGAAGGATGGAGCCGTTAAGGGTCTGAAGCTGAACGGACAGCCACCCGATGACAACTGTGAAATCTGTTTGCTTTCAAAGTTCACCCGTTTCCCTTTCCATAGTGTGGCTGGCAGGAGCAAGAAGCCTTTGGAGCTGGTCCACATGGACTTGGTGGGGCCGCTGCCGGTGCAAGGGCACAAAGGGGCACGGGGAGCGGTATTTTCTTACAATTGTGGATGACTGGAGCAGGCTGATGTGGGCGTATCCGCTGAAGCAGAAGGGACAACGCCGCCTCCACGATACGGGACGATTGGCTGCCATTCGTGGAGAAGCAGGCGGAGTGTGTAGTGAAGCGGATTAGGACAGACCGGGGTGGTGAGTTCCTTGGAGCTGAAATGACGGCCTGGCTCAAGAAGCAGGGCATCCAGAGAGAGCTGACCATGGCTTATACCCCACAGTCCAATGTTTTGTAGCAGAACGGGGCAAACCGGACCATTCTGGAGACAGCTAGGGCGCTGCTCATAGAATCAGGGCTGAGCAATTCTATGTGGCCTCATGCTGTCCGGCACGCCACTGTCGCTAGGAACAGGGTGCTCACCAAGGTTGGGGATGACTCGTGGGTGCCGTTGGAGAGGTGGCTTGGGAGGAAGCCGCCGGTGGACATGCTGAGGATGTTCGGTTGCATGGCAGTCGCCCACGTCCCCAAGACCTACCGCAGTAAGTTGGGGGCGAGTGCAATCTGGTGTGTGCATTTGGGGCTGGCTGCTGAGAGCAAGGGATGGCTGCTATGGGAACCATCCAAGGGTGTGTTGTTTGTTGTTGACAGCAGGGATGTGAAATTCATTGAGGCCATGATGTATGGGAGCTGGGAGAAACAGCCGGAGGCCGGGGTTTTTGTCCCAGCAGATGGAGCAGATCACCATGCAGCTGGACCTGACTCCTAGTGTGTGGGAGGAGGGAGAGGAGGCAGCTGCGGGGAATGGTGATGGAGAGAAGGTACAGGAGGCACCTGCTGGTGGAGAAAATGGTGTGGAAACTGGCGGCAGCACTAGTGGAGCTGCTGGACCCGAGGGAGGAGAGAAATAGAGCAGGGAAAAACTAAGAAGCCGAAGGGTGTCGTATGAAGGGATGGGAGACACCCGTCTCCAGGCCAGGACGTACCCGTATGGCTACTAAGAAGCTGACTGCAGGAACTGATGCAGCAGAGCAGCAGCTAGGGACCGAAGAGGCATTGCTGATTCTACCTCATGGCTATGACCCGGATGAGGAGGATGAGCCTGCGTACTGTTTTCTTGCCCCTGCACCAGAGGAACCAGCTAGCATGGAGGAGGCATTAGCTGGACCAGATAGGGACAAGTGGCTGGCTTCTAGGGATGCTGAGTACCAGAGTCTGCTGGAGAATAGGACATGGGATCTGGTGGTGCTGCCTGATGGGAAGAAAGCGATACAATGCAAGTGGGTGCTGAGGATCAAGACCGATGACAAGGGGCAGGTCACCATCTACAAGAGTAGGCTGGTGGCGAAGGGGTTTATGCAGAAGGAGAAGCAGGACTTCAACGAGATCTTTGCTCCCACTGCCAAACCCCCTACCCTCCGTGTCTTGTTGGCAAATGCAGCTGTTAGTGGGAAATTCATCATTCAGATGGATATTTCAACGGCATTCCTGAATGGGATTTTAGAGGAGGATGTGTACATTGTTGGGTGCAAATGCACATTGCACGACATCCTGCCGTCTGTTTGTACGAGTATGCGTGTGCGAATGCATTTGCGTGTGAATGGTGTTGTTCGTGTGTTTGTTTGCTTTCGCATTTTTCGCTTGATGCATTTGCAGGTACTCGCGCAATGTGCGCTTCGGCACAACATTGTACGCGCTATGAACAGTGCAAGCAGAAAGGACGAGCTCGCAAAGGAACCCAAGATGGAAGCTTTGCAGTTCGGTTGAGTTGATTGCGCAGATTCAGTTCTATCCAACTCGAAATTGTACTGTTTTGTTTGGTTAACTATAGTGTAGCAGGGAAGGCACTATAGGGGTACAATTTAGGTGAAGGTTGGATGTTGTTTGTCTGTATCTGCATGCTACAAGGCCAGGGGAAACCAGCGGAACCAGCATTTGGCTGGTTGGGAAAAGACAAAACAGGTTCTGTTTTTAGAACCTGAACCTGGTTTGTTTTCCCAGGTTGGAAAAACAGAACCAGAGGTTTTTTACCAACCTACCACCTGCTATTTTGTCAAGCCAGGTGGTTTCTGTGATTGGAATTATTTGGGATCATCCCTAGTTGTTCCCAGGTTGATTCCCAAGGTCCTTGCTAGCTAGAATTATTTAATCCTTCTCTGTTTGTACCTAAATATAGTCAAATTGATTCAAGCAAATTCCTTCCTCGCTGGAATTTCGTTTCTGCGCTATTCGACGGCGGAATGCTACCCGAGTCAACGCTAGTATGCTAGCACTCCAACGCTAGGCAAACGCTGTCCGAGCCATAACTTAGTAATGGCAGAATTTTTCGCGAGGCAACTTGGCTCATTTTAAAGCTCTTGGAGCGAGCTTCGATATAGCGAATTCTCAGCTTAATCCGACCGACGGTCTGCACGGCACGCTGCGCGACGTTCAAGGTACTCTTGCTGTTTTGACTAAGTCCTTCTTGATCCCTCTCTACAAACTCGGACCCGAGGATAGGGGCTGGTCTTGTACCAGGCACCCAGGGACCCTTGGAGGTGACCCCGAGGAGAGGTTTAAGTTTGATTAAGTCCTAATAGCTTGAGTTTATTAGGCCCTTACACCAACAAGCTGGTATCAGAGCTGCGTTATAGTGATCCTCGTTATAGGTAGCTATTGCGGGGCAACACCTCGGGCGGGAGCTGGTGAATCTTCAGCCCAAGATCGTAGCGGCAGCCAAGATTCTGGTCTTTCAGCGCCAAGGGGAGCGCGAACAAACCAGGGCTCGCTGATCAAGGAGGTGCTGAAGAATTTCACCGTCGAGAAGTTCAATGGTGAGGGCTATGATGATTGGGCCTGGAAAATGCAATTATATTTCCGTCAGATCGGTTTGCTGAAACTAATGATTGGGGAGGAGCCTAGACCGAGTGACCCCACGCTGCAGGAAGATTGGGACGAGCGCTCCTCGGCTGGCTACTATTTGATGTCGCAGAGTTTGGAGCTGAACCAGCGTCACCACGTCATGCACCTGCCTGCGGGAGGTTGAATGCGGTCCGAAGGCGTGGACCGTGTTGAAGGAGCTGCACGCCCCGACCTCCGTTGTCGCAACGTTGATGCTGGAGAGGGAGCTGTCCGCGTTGCGCCTGAGCGAGGGAGAGCCGGTGCAACCAGTCCTGGACAAGATGCGCGACCTCTACGCGAAGTTGGCGACCGCGGGAATCACCTACCCGGAGCAGACCAAGTGCTTGAAGA